TGAGGAGAATATTCTGCGACTATGCAGCTTCATATATTCATTACATATACTTCTTAATCGGTAAACAGCAGAAAAAAGGAAAAACAGGAGGCAAACGCATCCAGAGAAGGCATCTATAAAAGTAATGACACTTGAACAGGTCAGCAGCCAGTGCCATAATTTCGAAAGGGACCCAACAGCAAATTTCTTAAATACTCACCATTGTGTATACTCTTTTATTAAATTATAAATTTTCATGTAAATGTAATTATAATAAAGATTTCTTCATTTTTAAATGGCTTTCCTTCAATTTCACTTTCTTCATCTATATCTAAAATTTCAAAAGGCAGACCAGTCTCTTCTAAATTATACTTTATGGATTCTCTTGGCATCAATGTTATGGAAGCCAAATGAGGATCTGATGTTAAGAGGAGCCTGTTTGAAACATCAAAATTACATGGCTATCTTCAAAATTTTCTAGAATTAGGCAGAACATATGATCAAAAGTGCTTGTTCTGTGCCTCAGCCACTTCTTCCAAAAGTTGTCCCATAGGTTACAAAAAGTTTTCTAATTTATTGCCCCATGAATGCGACTTGGTATTGTTGGAGTACCTAACTAGATGCCATGGATACTGTCCAGGAATCATCCTTATTTTCAAATCTTTGAATTGTGCCTGATTAATTATCATTTCCAATGTATTACATTCATTCTGGATTAAGAATTTCAATTACTTCTTCCTAATATTTCAATCGCTGATGAACAGTGTGATCTAACAGATCTTGCAGCTTAATTTCAAAGCAAGTCGATAGGATTTTAGTTAGTAAAGAATATACATCCATTTTTGTCTCAACATTTCCTACAACCATTTATTTTCAATTTATATTTAGACCTTGTTGTTGCATCCTATTGTACAATTGTCTCCTTAAAGTCACTTTGACATTTAATGACCCTTATTAATTTAAAATTAAAAAATCTTAACTGTGGATTGATGGTTGACTGTAGTGAATAATTGAAGAGAAGAATAGTTGGGGTAATCAGTCAAAAATAAATATACCTACACTTATTTATTTTTACTTTTATTTTTTGACTGATTTCTTTATTGACCCCAACCATTCTTCTCTTTAAAAAATCAACATTTTTTAAAAATTATATTAATTGTTTTCTGTATCAAATCTTGGATAAAACAGTAAATGAATATTGAAAGCGCAAAAGATTTTTTTTTGTGAGGAGATAGAAAGTCTACTCCTCAAGATAATGTAAACAATTATTGGTTCTATGATTTTGAAAGTATAACTTAAATCATTAAGGAAATTTGGCTTTTTGCAAAATATTACATATATTCAAAGGCTGATACCTATTTATAAATTAGTCTTATTAATGTAAGTAATGCATAAAAATTAATTGCATACCTGGTTCTGAAGATTCCATAACTAAATACATTAGAAAAAAATTCAACCATTGCACACAGTCATAACGAACAACACTAAAAAATATGACAGCATAGGTAGTTGAGACAGGAAACACGGTGAGTTTGACTACCATGTCATTCAGTTCCTTGCTGGACATGGATGCTTTCGAACGTACTAATATAGGTTTAAGCTTGACAATAAAACAGAGTGCTCTGTGTACAAGCTCATATATGAGAGCGCAGAACATGTTTTTATGCTGTTCCTACTTTCAGAAAATGAGGGAAGAGTTTCAAGAAGTCTGAGGAACAGAAGGAACCGACAGCTAATAACATCGACTGATGATGTATTTATTAATAACACTGTTATTTATTATATTATTAATAACACCGACTGATGCTGCTTTCCCAGGAGTGATAGGCGGGACAATGCCTAGCAGCACAGATCATCAAGAAAATGAGGAGTGAGGAAAAGGAAAAGTGAGCTAGGAGGTAACATGAGGAATGAGGTGAGCTATTCATCCACAAAGTAATGCCAAATGGTATTCCAGTGGAGGGTGAGAAACAAGTGCAGGGAGGTGGTTTTAGTGGGTAAGAATCTCACAAGCGTGTAGGTATAGGACTATTTGTGCCTTTTAAATCAACCAATCATTAAAAAAAAAAAAACAAGAGATTATTTGCAAAACTTGGTCGATTGGTTTTAAAGGGATCTCAAAATGTGTATTCCTGATAAAATTCAGATTAAAAAATTTTCAGAATCACTATACTTTCCCTTGCTATTTCCCTTGATATTTTGTACATAGGCTAGTGAAAGTAAAAAAAAAATAATACATCATCATTATTATTATATTAAATTAAATGGGTTCAATATATAACTTTAGACATGATGATATAATTTATTTATTTTTCTTTTTTTTAAATAGTTTCACAAATATTGCACTGAATCTTTTTAAGATTCAATTCTTTTTTAAATATCAATAACAAAAACAATATATATAAATATAATATATATATATATATATATATATATATATATATATATATATATATATATATATATATATATACACATACATACATACATACACACACACACAATTATTTACATTAACATTATTTAAGAACAAAATGAAATGGTATTACATATAAATAATGACTATAAAAGTACTTTATCAATATAACATTAACAGATCTCTGCAACATAGTAGGAAATTAACTATAGAAAAACAAAAAAATATCAAAATATCAATAAAAATTATAGATATGTCATGCCTTGAAGATTTTAACCTTTAAAAGAAGGGTAAGAGAGTTAACATTGAAATATTAGTTTTGTTATAACTTTAACAGCAACAATTAAATATTAATATTTTGGTTACTACAAAAAATTATTAATTTATTAACATTTGTGAATAAAACAATGATTACTAGCAACTAGACAAAAAGTATGGTAATGTCACTCGTTTTTCCACATAATATATACATTAAATTATGGGAGTCATTTTTAAAAGATTATATCCAAACTGCTGACATTATAAAATCTTAAAAGACACTTTATATATTATTTCGATTACTCCCTACCTTGCCATTTTTGGCGTATCAGAATGCATTTAATACCTTCATCCCATTTAAAGTTTAAAAAACTTGTTAGCATCGGATTTATTGGTGTATTCTTGCACCCTTATCTTTTATATTCTGTAATAAAGTATATTTTAACCAGCAAGGCTGCTAGTTCTAATTTTATAAATAACATATGTACTAAGTATACTATATATATCAAACTATGAAAACACAACTTTTGTAATTTAAATTTTTGTAAAACAGTATCATATTGATACTGTGCAATTAATCTTTGGTGTTAAGATAAGAAACTTCACTGATATAAGAGAAATTCAACTCAATCAAACATATAGTAAATTACTTTGGAGATAAGAGGTCTTAATTATATGGAAAATAATTTTTATTTATAGGATGAATCTGGATTCAATAAATAAGCAGTTGATTTTAAAATAAAAAAGAAGAATATATCAACACCCAGACTACAAAAGCCTGTAAGTCAAATTTAATTATAAAGAGCAGTTTTGAGCTTTTCTGGTCAATCTTGGACTTGGCTTATTCAGGCATACAAACCAAAATCTTTTAAGCATGCAATAAAAAAAGAACGGAAAATCTGGTTAAAAAAACATAAGATTTATTTCATGTAATGAATTGTAATTGTAGTTTTTTTTAATTGGTCATGGCTGTGGATATGCTCAAATATTAACCATGGAAAGACATGATTAACTATCTCTCTTCTGATTTCTCTCTATGCAGATTAATTAATAGATTTCCTACTATCAAAATAATTTTTAAGAAGTATAAAAATTTCATGTATTAGAAAGGAAAGCTCTAAAACATACCATGAAACAATCAAAAGATTGAGGTTATTCATTTAAATAATTTTTAATAATATTTACCGATTTTTAAAAAATAAAAATAATGGTGATTACAATATAACAAAAATTAACACTAATCAACAATGGTCAAAATCCAATTTCAGTGTGTGAAATTTTAAGAAGAGAGGTAGATAAAAACTTATCTTTAAAACACCAGCATTAAGGGGATAAAAAAACATATAGCAAGTAACTAAAACATAATGTTTTATAATATAGAGAGACAATTAAATCAAACAACTTTCTTACTTTTTAAAACTAAAGATCACAGTGCTACTTGTATAAAGTTGATATTTTATTCATACTATGGGTAATTCAATGATACTTGTACAGCAAAGCTTAGAAGAAAACTTAGATGATTTGGAATAATAAGTTATTTAATGTATATTATCACACAAAACTATACACATATGGGATATAATTTTCAGCTCATGGATAATATGAGATTATTGAATAATTAAAAAAAAAAGTAATATATCAACCCTTATAAGAGCTTTATTTTTTACTTTGATATCTAAAAATGTATACAAAAATATATACTTGTAAATAAATTGCTGATATAACTAACTACCTATTAAAATTACAGGCATTATTAAAATAAATTCAATTTTAATAGGAAATTTTCATGCTAATGAATATAACTGCGATCCAAATAGAAGACTGAATAGGAAATTAATAAATAGAATGTTAAAAAAAATACAAAAATAAATCCGATTATATGATGAATATAATCTTGATTGAAAATATAATAATAAGAATACAAATCCAATAGTATTAAAATACAGCAATCTTTTTAAATGTCTGCTAATAGTACAAAATGTAAAAAAACTAGACCTCAAAAATGTCATAAAAAAACAGTAAATTTCATTAATGTTTGACAATATAATTCATTTTTTCATAATCCTTTCTGCTTTCTATTCATTAAACAAAATATTCAAATGTTATTATTGTTGTAATTAATATCTTTTCCAGTAGTTAATTAAATCCTAATAATCTTACTCTAATTCAGTGTAAATTATATTATGAGTTATTATGAAAAATATAAACATATTTTACTTATTTACAAATGACCTAATTTAAAACCTATACATGTCAATATTGAAAAGAATAAGGCTTTCAAATTCATTTAATAAATATTGTTTCTACCACCCAAGATACGACACCTTCACATGGAGGGGGGGCATGTTCACAGAAAAGGGTTGTTAGAATGATGGTTTACATTTTGGCCAATACTGTTCACCTTAAATGAGGAAAAACACAATTAAACACATGTAATGTTACTTATATCAAATATTTTGAGTTTAAGTTCATGAAAATTCAAGATAAAATATAATATAAGCAAAGAAAAAAACAAGATTCTTCAGCTAAAAAAATATTTGTTACAAGCTATAAATATTATAATGAATTTATAACTGTACAATTATTTTTGTTTGCTTTTTTTCGCATCTTAACTCTCTTATTTACTGTTGTTATGGCAGGAACAGATAGTTACTTATAATATAACAACCAATTCTAATACTTAAGTAGGATAATCAAGATTTATTATCATAAAATGACAAAGAAAGTTCAACAAAAAGATAAGAGGCAATCAAAAGCAAAGGGTTGATGAAAGACATAATGAAAATAACTAATAACGAATTGAGGAATAAGCTAAAAATTAAGTATGATGGGATAATTAATATTAAAAAATAAAGTTCAATATCTTTATAACTAATAATTATGCTTCATTTGTCTTTACCACATGCCGTCTACTTTAATAACATATTAATTTGTTATCATACTTGCATGCCTCCATGACAATTATTCATTTGAGAATGTTAAACAACCAAATAAGTCATAATACTTTTAAATTAAATTTATGGAGCATTAAAATAGGATTTACGATTTTCTTGGGATTAAACAAGAAACGTATTAGTTGTTTAAACTCTCTAATCACAACTAAAGGGAATCACTCAAAAGCCAATAATAACAGTTACATCAAACATAAAATAACATAGGATGCTACTTCAAATATTATCGATCATGCACGAATACATAAACCAAATATTAGTTATTAGTTTAAATGTTAAAACAAATATTTTCTAATAAATCGGTGACATAAAAGGAACCAAGATGAATTATAAAAAAAAGCTGACTGGACAAATTTTCATGCCCTTGTAATATCACCTTACTTGCAAGAAGTCATGAAATTGATAATAGATGTCAAGTAATAACACAAGCTAGTCTACAAAATGACAAATGAACTATACCTAGAGGCTTACATGGTTAATCTTTTTGACCTAGCTATTGTAGATAAGTACTTCGATTTTCAATCACCAGAGGAAATCGCCACTGACCTTTAAGACCATGAGCCAATGGCTTAAAGGTCGTGTTCTTTTAAGATAAATTTTAATGTATTTTTTGCATCCAACTTGTATAAGTTTCTCGTCTATCACCTCAAAGGAGAAATCAAAAATAAAAGTTGTACAAAGCTGTGACTAAAAAGATATAAATGTAATTGTTGGAAGAAGCTGTGTTCTTATTTTATATTAATCTAGATTTTTATCTAACAGAAAAAAACTTTGGCTATCCTCTAGTTGGATTCATCAACTCCAAAAAACACACTTTAAAATTCAAAATGGTTACTAATTTGAAGATGTATGTTTCATTTTTATATTAAACCAGAATTTATGTGACACAAAAATTTTGTATATCTTTCTTAAATGGCTGGATTCTGTGGCCAAACAAATTAAAAAAAACACACTTTAAAACTAAATTATGTTGGGTAATATGAATATATTTGTTTATTTTATAAGATTAAAATTGAGTCTAAAAATAGACAAATAAAAATGAAAATAGATTTTCATCTAACATATAAATAAAAATTGCCAGGCAACCTAGGTGTTCAGAATTCACCAGGCAGAAAAATAATCAACTCGAATGTTTTGTTATACATTGAAGAGAAGTTGGTTGGTGTGTTCAGTCAATATACAAAGTAAAGATAGATAAATGATATTTATTTTTGCCGTCGTTTCGGCCTAAAGTTCCGATCTTCATCAGAGCTAAGAAAAGACAGATAACAATAGGTATAAAAAACTATTAACAGTAAAAAGAAAATAACAATATGTAGGTGAAAGGTATAGTTTAATAACATGTAGATAGAATAAACTCAACATTAATAAATGACTGAAGAGGCAGAAATATGAAATATAAAATAACGATAACAAAGTTAGGAATAGAAAGTAGCAGAAGCAAAGTTAGGATATATAAAATAACGGCAACAAAGTTAGTAACTTATGAAAAAAACAATAACAAATAGGAACTGTCATACAATTTCAACAATATAGATAATAATTTGACACATAAAAATTATTATTATTTTTTAATATTTAAGTGTTACCATACTTATTTTTGTGGCAGGGTGCACCCTGATCAGGCAGTTAATTTCAAAACATTAGTTTGGCAATGTATTTTGTTTTTACTTAGAATTTATTTATAATTTTTAAAACTTTTGTTTAAAATAATTTTTAATTATTAAAGTTAAATTTGTGAAGTATTAGGTTTTATTTTTACTGAATATTTTTTTTTTTACTTTTTAAAACTATTGTATAAATGATTCATTTTTTTAACATCATTGCATAATTGAAACTCTCACCTGTTTCAGTTAAATATTCCTCCACTAATTTAAGCTCTAATTTTTGGATTTTTTCCCTCAATTTTCTTACAATACATCTTTCGGATATGAAACTAATGTTTCTAAATTCAAACGTAAAACTAATATTCTAATGCAGCCTTCTATTCTCGAATTTGAATTCTATATATTCAATAGTTTGTCTTTTACTGTAGAATGAAGGTCTGTTAACTGTTTTTCGGATTTTTCAAGACACCGATTTATAAACACCATAGTAAGAATAACATGTACATCTACGCAGGAAAAGGTGGTTCCAATAAATATTAATAAAAGTTATAACATAAATTTAATATGGTAATAGATATGCAAGAGGAGAGGGATGAGGAGCAGCAAGGGCTCTGTTTGACCAGCTTTATTTTTTTTGCATTCTAAATTTTCTTAAAAAAACATTATATATAAGAAAAAATTGGGTTTCAGTTTGTTATACTTACTATTCATTCAAGTCCCTTATTGACTTTAAGCTAATGTTAAATAATAAATGTAACTTATAATACTTTTCTTTTCCTAAGGTACCATGTTGATAGAGAAGAGTAGGTAAATGGATTAAATGAGGCAAGTGATGTGAATATGAATGAACTTAAAAAATACAACACTATATTTACATTTGACAAAATAAATTGAAATATATATTAACATATGTGCTGATTTATTACACCACCTTTGTAATTACTTACAATACTTAAAATAAACGTATACACAGAGATGAGCCTTAATCTATATTTTATATCGATGTAGAGTTGGTTGACCGTTGATATGATATGAGAAGGAATTAGTCGAGGGTGCGGTCAAAAAAATAATAATTTATTTTTAAATAATAATATATTTTTTTGACCGCACCCTCGACTAATTCCTTCTTATATTTTATATCTTTCACACACCAGTCCTCACAACACTGAGGAACGCCATCCTAACTCTAAAGAGAGCGGGCACCTTTCTTTTCAACTATTGGATACCCCCACCCAACTCCGAGTACCAACTTGATCATTCCACATATAGCAAGTTATGAATTTAATATTTGATGAGAAAATTAGTCGCTGTGACCATCACAGGAAATAATTTGCTGGATTGATTTCCTTTAATACTTTGGATTGACCATAGTTAAATGTTATTTTAATGATATTGGGTAATTGTCCAGTATATTTATTATCAAATGTTCTCTGCGAAATCTGTGGACTTTGAATACATTGAAATTCACAGACAGCTTAATGTCTATAATAAATGTCCTCAAAGTCCCACAGAAACGGTCTTTCTCAAGACCTCAATGCCTGTTTAAAAGTTCTTATTTGGAACTCAGACAGGCAAATGAATGACAAGTATGCAAAACTTGAACATATAGTTGTCAATCATAAAGAAGAAGCTTCAAAGTTTTTCTAGATTAGAAGATACCAAGTGTACTCTGTGCCCTGTACAAAAATACAGTCATTTGGAATTATAATCTTAGTAAAAAAATCGATTACTTCAAGATTTACTTTCAGAAAGGAGATGACTTCTTCGGATAGTCTTGAAGGCATTGAGTTGGAAGTGTGGGTGAAGAATATGCACAAGTGTATCTTTATTATCTACAATGTAGACGGAATATAAATAATGCCATCATCAAATCAGCCAGCTACCCATTCCAAGATGTAAGGTAAAATATTCGTACCATTTCAGAATCAAGAACTTGAAAAACTTAAAACAGAATGTGATCAGACTCTAGGAAGCACAATAATGACTGGATAAACGAAAGACAGAACAAAGCTAAAGCGTAAATCAGGTGAACCAAAGCAGGCTATTAAACAGTGAAAAAGGTCAGCAAACAGATCCTTTCTTGAGAAGCTTGATTTCAGAAAGCATGCCATGCCGTTAAAGGACATACGTTTCTGTCAAAATTAAATAATAATGCAATACAACTGAAGTGCATATGAATAAGGATATATAGCACAGCATTTCTGTAAGCATTATCTTTTAATGAAAAGATGTGAGAACTAGACCCCCATCTACATTAGTAGAAATTGGAGTAACTTTCCAGAAGCTTTCCATGTTCTGATAAAATATTTCCTGAATTCCCCAAAAAGTTAGGAACAAAAGTCAAGGATGTCATCCTCTCCTTCTTAAAGACAGTCTCGTCGTATCATATAATCCAATGGGTGTTCACTTAAAGAACGTAGATTGGTAGATGGATACTGCTTTTTACACTTTCTTGGATAGTCTCTATGAACTTAATAGATTAGCAATTTTTTTATTCAATAATAACAGAGAACTATATATTCTAATTGAATAGACATGGAGAGGCTAGTGAAATGTTCCTCTCCATTGAGTATGGAGATTTTCAACAAGTGGCAATGATGGTACTATGTAACTAATCCACCTGGCTTACCCTCAACAGTGAATTTTGGACCAGAATCTCACCTGTTGGATCACTTGTCAGAAGAGGATCAAAACATTATACTAATTAAAACTACTAACAACTTCAAAGACCAGTAAAACATATTGAAAAAAGATACCAAACTAATTAATATTTAGAAGCGATGGAAAGCAAAAAATTCAAATATTTAAAATAAAATCATTTAATTGAAATTAGCATAGTAATA